TAGATAGATAGATAGATAGATAGATAGATAGATAGATAGATAGATATAACTTTAAGAGATTGTGCCCTGACGATGCTCAATGCTCACATGACTTGGAAGTTTTGCACATCATCTCAGGGAATGGGTCTTTCTTGTTTCAATCCGCAGTATTGATGTCAAATCTAAGAATTTTCTCGGTTCTCACTTCATACTATTTGTTACTTTCCCAATAAGATCTTCTGATGTGATACATTAATTAATCATTCTTCAGATTGATTGCTTGTAAACACCTGCGATTGTTAATGTCTCTTTTTTCACTATTATTGTTACTTCTCATGAGTAATGATATTCTAAACTTTATTATAATTTCTTTAGTATTGCATTGGTTACACGCTGACATCTATTATTATATGAAGATTCTTGATGCTCTTTTTCATCACAATAGCAACTCATTGGTATTTTTGTTGCATGTTGTAAGCTGCATGTGGATAAAAGCTCTATCTTTCTCCCCATTGTGGACTGTGTACACTGGTTCTGTATTTAAAGGAAAGCATAATGAAAGTGTAGTGGAAAATGGTATATTCAGAGGTAGAGACAGAGAATGGCATATCTCTATGCATACAGTAGAAGAATGGACTCCAGTGAAATGGCTGATAATGTCCTGACAATTGAATGTTGAGCTATCCAAAATTGTGCATGCCTATATTGTTGGGAAAAACTTCATTGGCAGTATAATGGAATTATGAAAGTTTATGAAAGACACCAATGGTAAAAACAGAGAGGAAATTGGTGGGGAGGAATATTGGGGATGGGGATTTAAAACCCCAGTGCTTATTAAGCAATATAATAAAGCAAAGTAATTTTTTAAATGAAAAAGGAAATTAAATCAATAGAGGAAATAGTTTACTTTGGTATTAAATTATCAAATAAACACATATATCAGCAAGGAAATAATAAAATATAATGCAGCAAATGAATATATACAAGAATTGAAATATGTTTTTGCTACGTGCGCTGTCCTGAATACTTGGACATGAGACATTACTTGTCTTCTCAGAATATGGAGCCACAGGAGTATAGCCTCTATGTTGTCCTTGTGCACATGGGCTTGAGTTGTCACAGAGGACATTACTTGTGCTACATCAAAGCTGGTAATGGCCGTTGGTATCAGATGGATGATGCGAAGGTCTGCTACTGGGTCCTGACATTGGCCTTGAAATGCCTATGTGATCTTTTATATGCTCAAGGGTGGATGAGACAGGATCAATCCTGACCATCACTAGGCCAGGGAGCACCAGTATACCAGGAGAGCCTGAAAACCATTCCAATCTGGGAGCCAAAGAAAGCCAACAGGACTTGGGGCAGAGAACTCAGAAACTCAGCTTAGATGAGTGGAAATACCTGCTAGAAATCAAGAGTGCCTTCAACCTCAGGAAAATGGAGCCCAGCCTGCTGACCACAGCAGTCCTGATTCATCAGGCATGATCTAGCATGCAGCTGAGCAGCCATCTTCCAAAACACAAAAGCTCCCAGCAGTGCAGATCAGCTGGACACCTACACATCAGCTGCTCAACAACTCTAGCCAACTCCCTGGTCTGGCAAGCAGAGGCAGAGCCAGAGCTCCCAAAAGGAAGCACAAATATGCAAATAGCCCAGTTCTGCATATCTAGTCATTTTCCTACAGGACTATTTCAAATACTTTGTTTGGTGGGAGGGAGTGTACAGCCTCATGGGGTTGGTGAATACCGGCAAAGAGATTGTGGGTGATGACCTCATCTCTCAAGGAAGGACATGCTTTTCATTCTTTTCATTCTTTCATGCATTAATAAGGAGAGACTCTTGGTTTGTGTGTTTGTTTACTGATTTCTTGGTGGATTGAACACACATACATAGCTTTGGTTGGGCCCGCTTGAGCTCTAAAGGGCATTACAAATATTTTATTGAGTGTACAGGCTTGGATCCCCACAGCTCCATCACTGAAAGCCTGATGGAGCTGAGAATATATAGGAACACTCACTGGTTCCTGTCTTTGGAACCAAGGACTTCCCATGCACATACACAGTGGGAAGTGGAAAATGACAAGTTGTGAAGGAGATGAAAGGAAATCAGTGGTAGAAGGGATTTGCAAATGGGAGGGCATGTGAAATTCCTGCTTCTGAGGAGCTGTGTCAATGCATGAATGAATCAATAAATTGATATTTTAAAATAATAATAATCAAAAAATAACCATGACTCATTTCTAAGTCAGAGTGAAGATTAGTGTTTCACTTTGATCATTTATTGATTGAGTGATGGATTCAACATTAACAGGGAGACAGAGTCAGAAACAGAGAAAAACATGGAGACATGGAGTCTCCCAGACACTGGCTCACTTGCCATATCCCATCACCAGCTGAAGCCAAATGGCACTGAAGCCTCAGCCAGGATCTTCTGGGTGTCCTACCTGGTTTCCGGGAGCCAAAGCTTTGGACCATTTTTCATTGCTTTCCCAGGCCAAAGGCAGGGTGCTGTGTGGAAAGATGATTAGTCAGGATATAAACCAGCACCTGTGTGGGAAACCAGCCATGGAAGGCAGAGGATTTGCTAGTTCATTGATAGTGCTAGCCCTCAAACCCTAATAAATGGATCTTCAGCACGAGATGTTAACCCCTTTTGGTGCGACTTGAATGGAATCAATTCCTCCAAAATTTGCATATCTCCAAACACTCTCTATGTCCCATTTGCTCTCTTTGTCACACACTCACACACATGCACGTGCAAATAATGGTCTGATGCCAACAATATTTTAACTACCCTGGTAGTATTTGTTAGGGATCAATAATTTGTAAATGTTTCGTAACACCAAACATTCTTCTTACACACATACACACATATATGTGGCCACATCTACATTAACCACACACATATAGGCACTGATGTGAATTTCCACACAAGCAGACTGGAGAGATTTTAAAAATTAGAGAATAAATCACACATTACAGAGTAATGCTTCAAGAATACAAAGTTTAATTTATTCTTTCCCGAGTTTTTCCCTAATATTGTCATAAAACATCATTGTCTCAACCAGTTTTCAAGGGGAGCATTTCTGCCCAGACTTTCCTTGAATGGCACAGCAGACAGAAAGGAGTTATTAGTTCCACTCTACTCCTCTTCCCCATGAGGTCTCCATTTTACAAGGCTGACATCACACCATCAGATCTCAGGCACTTGTTGCCAGTAAAATTCCAATAAAAACCACATTTAATTTGAAAAATTGCAAGTTGTGATAACTGTGTCTTCTTTCAGAATATTCTGAGGCTCAAAGAATGCTCTTATTTTAATCAACACATGAAGACATTCTGTGTCAATAGGCATTGCCTGCTCCTTGCCTCTTTCCCTTGCCTAGATAGATCACCATGCCCAAGTCACCTTAGAGTAGAGCCTGAGTTTTCCCTGTTTTTGTGTCTCACTCACAGTCACTCTGCTCAGTTATACATTTTTAGGTCCAAGTATAGAACAGTAAGTGGAAATTGGAAACAGCAAATCTCTTCTCTGGCCTGGGAGTGTTTTGAGAAAGATTCAGAATGTGAGTAAACTGTTGTAGTAGCCCAACCATGGTTTGAGTACTCCAATGGTTACTATACAATCAATCATGTGAAGATCATTCTGAAAGAGGAATAGCTTCAGACATATTGGTGTGGTTGGCCGTGAATGGCAGCACACGACTGGAAAGCATTTTGGTGAGGTCTGGTGCTTGGTGGCTGCATGTCAGTCTCGAACTTTTGGGCTGGTGGGCCCTGTGTGTGAAATGTTCCTTCCATGTACTGTTACAATTGGTAGTGTCTGCAAAGTCTGTATTTTCCCTCGCTCAGAGGTCTGAGTTGTCTTCTGAGGAATTTCAAAGGGGCTGTCCTGTTGCTTTAGCTGTATTGTCAGGTATGGATGGCATTTTTACTAATTCATTTTCCTGAGTGCTACTGCCAAGTTTGGAATCTGTACTCCCTTTCAGTTCTTCAGAATGTAGACCTGACTGAGGTTGAACTTTAGAAAACCTCATTTGTCCCTGACAGCTTCACATTTGGCTTAGGTCAATGTATTGTGAAGATCTTGTAATAAGGCTGGACCATCAGGACTGTGATCTGACTCACATAGGAAGTGGAGTCCCAGCCAAATAAATTCAGTCTAGGCTAGATTTTGTCAGTGTTACTTTACTCTTGGCATTTCTTCTGGTGAAATCTTGAGAAAGAATCACAGTGAAGTGTTATGAAGGAAAATGTAGGGTCCAGGGGCAGATTGCAGGAGTAGTGGCTGTCTTTTAAATACAGGATATTTTAGACCAAGGTTTGCAAGCTGTGTTTCAGGCCACATGCAATTAGGTCAAGATAATATATCACCTGGAATGAAAGTTATACACTGGGGCATGTTCATTAGATATGACTGGTAAACAGGATGAGGGTGGCATTTAAGTACTTATTAGGGAAGTTGTTCCACAGCTTCTCCAAGGACAGAGATTGGGGCATGCCCAACATTCTAGCTGCATGCACAGTGAACAAGTCAGGTTGGAGTCTCAGTTAGCCAATACTATTGTCATGGGATTCTCCAGGGACACGGTATGGTTATGGACTTCTGCATAATTTAAGCTGGCAGAGATACAGGGGTGATGTCCTACACTACAGTGTTAAAAAAGACAGAAGCCAAATGGGATCCACATTTCGCCAAATGACACGAGAATCTTCACTTCGGAAGATTCATCCTTCACAGCTGAATCTTTGGGGCAATTGACACATGCTTCATTGTCTCTTATTCCAATATTCATTTGTAACAGATTGTGGAACTTTGAGATTCTAAAAATGCTGTAGTAGATAAATGTGTAAATGATAACCACAGAATACCAAACAATTGCTATGCACTAAACATTGATTATCAACATTAAGATCTGAACGCAGAACTCATTCACATTTTTCACCTCACAATAGAACATGAAATCACATTTGAATTATTTTAGCAACACATGTTTATCATTTGACACTTGCTCACTTTTCCTAGGTGTGGATCCTCTGATGTGAATTGAGACCTGAACGTCTGGCAAAAACTTTTCCGCACTTACTACATTCATATGGTTTTTCTCTTGTGTGGATTCTCTGATGTGTTGTAAGACTTGACTTTTGGGTAAAAGCTTTTCCACACTGGCTACATTCATAAGGTCTTACCCCTGTGTGGATTCTCTTATGAGTTATGAGATATGAACTGTAAGCAAATGCTTTCCCACACTGGCTACATTGATAAGGTTTTTCCCCTGTGTGGATTCTTTTATGTGTTCTGAGACATGAGCTTTGCATAAAAGATTTTCCACATTCACTACATTCATATGGTTTTTCCCCTGTGTGGATTCTCTGATGTGTTATGAGACATGACTGGTGGGAAAAAGTTTTTCCACACTGGGTACATCCATAAGGTCTTTCTCCAGTGTGGATTCTCTGATGTATGATTAGGTGTGACTTCGCAGAAAATGCTTTTCCACACTCACTACATTCATAAGGTTTTTCCCTGGTGTGGAGTCTCTGATGTACAGTCAGACCTGAGTGGCTGGCATAGGTTTTTCCACACTCGGCACATTCATAAGATTTTTCCCCTGTGTGGATTCGTTGATGCCTGATTAGGTGTGATTTTTGAGAGAAAGCTTTTCCACACTCACGACACTCATAAGGTTTTTCCCCTGTGTGAATTCTCTGATGCTCGATTAGGTGTGACTTCACAGAAAAAGCTTTTCCACACTCACTACAATCATAAGGTTTTTCCCCTGTGTGAATTCTTTGATGCTGGGTTAGGTGTGACTTCTGAGAAAAAGCTTTTCCACAGTCTCTACATTCATAAGTTTTCCTCCCTGTGTGAATTCTCTCAGGTCTCTTGATAAACAATTGCTCATCAAAAGCTTCTCCAGACTTATTGCATTCATATTGCTTCTCTTCAGTGAGAAGGATCTGATCTCTTCTAAGTTCTGGCTTCTGGTACATGTTTTCTTTACATTCATTACACACATAGAAACGTTCTCCTGTGTCAGTTCTCTGCTGGGTGGAAAGGCAAGATTTACAACTAAAAGATTTTGTACAGTAGCTGCACTTATAGTAACTTTTTGCTGTCTGGCTTATCTGATTTGTGTTGACATTTGTTTTATACATAAGAGATTTCTCATTATTGCAATGTCCATGGAGTTTCCCTCTTGATTGTGTTTCCTGATTCTTGCCAAAATGATTGTTGTGGAACATTTTCTTCTCAACCTGAACTGTTTCTCCCACATTGACAGGTTGCTGATTACATGGCTCTTTAGTATAAACTGGCCCACACATAAGGGATATCTTCTTCCCACTGAACGCTTTTTCTTTCCCATCATGTTCAAAAGACTTTAGACAAATGTCTGTCTTGTCCTGCTGAGTGAGACTTTCTTCACTCTGGAGGCTATTCTCAGGGACATTAGAAGCATGCTTTTTCCAAAATAGCATTTCATTAGGCTTCCTATAGAAAAAAAAAAAAAAAAAGAAAGAAATTATGGAGTCTCTCCCTCTCTCCTTTCAAGAGTCACCTCTCTCTGAGCTCCCTCCTGGGAGCTGCTTTTCCAATCCCTTTTCCAAGTTCACCTGTTCATTTAGCAATTAAAACGTCTGTCTACAATGATTCCTACGTTCTCTGTCTATAAGATCATGAGAGAAAAACTGAGTGTTCCTGGTAACACTTGCTGGAGTGTACAACATGGCATATGAAAAAGACTTTGTTTCTTAGACCACAGATATGTGGCTTGACTCAGCAGGAAGAGAAGACTGCGCAAGGTTGGTAACCCATCAGGTGGGACTGAACCTGTAAAAATGACCCTTGGCACCCCATGGCTCTGCATAAACCTGCAGAATGCACCCACACACTCACCCACACAACCACTACCACTGCTAAAACTTCAGATGGATTGTACTTTCAGGTGGGTGCAGATAGGAAGCAGAGCAATTTAAGACTTAAGACGCTGTAATCAACAACTACTGGGTCTCCCAAGAATGTGCCAGGTTAAAATGTTTTGGGATGTTTGACTGCTTTCCTGGGCCATAAACAGTGAGCTGGGTGTTAAGTAGGGCCACTAGGATGTGAATCAAAGCTGATAAGAGATCCCAGCAAGTGCAAGGTGGAGATTTACCTGCTAGGCTACCATGCGATGCTCTTGGGTGTGATCTTTTGCAATGACTTATTTGTGCCTTTGCGTTATACCCACTACACTTCCTAGATGAATTGAGAAAAAAACAGTCTCTTTACTTTCTCTTCTGTCTCAATTTGATCACACACATGGCTTCCAATCTTAGAGACCCAAACAGCCATAGCATTACAAGTGTACATTTTGAGATGTGTATCAGGAGCTATTTCCTGGCTGGTTGAACAAATGGGAAATGTCTTACGAACAGGTTCTTGCCTAGACAAGGAAGGATCAGGGACACTTAAAAGCCTCATTCAAGAGGCACAACATCTCCTGGGTCTCTCCCAATAAATGTTATTCGATTCTCTCTGCTTTATACATTCAGTTGGTCACTTTGCAAATAAAACTTCTATCTGCAAATATGCATAAATAGAAACAATGAAATCATTTCTCAAGTTGTTTTTTTTTTTAATGTACAATTTTCCTTTCAGTTCATGTTTCAGTTACGGCCAGAGATAATACTAAGCATCTTTGGAAATGACTTTTTCTTTGGAATTATTATGTCATTTTTGTGATTACACCTTACCTGAGGAATATTTCTTGACTTTTCTGATTAGCTCCAAGCAGCTCATTCTTTCTGTAGGCATCTGAAATGAGGAAAACAGTAGCCATATGCATGAATCACACCAAAGTGTTTCTTTTCCAATGCTCAAGGAAAGTCAAAGACACTTGTTGCCATTGTAGATACAGCAGATTTTAATATTAGTAAAATGTGGACATTTATGAGCATTATTTATGAGTATTACATCTTTTTATTAATGCATTCATAAAATAACTTTTTAAAAAAATTCAAGTATTTGGATTTGTGTGGTATTAGTTGATACAGGACAATACAGAAAATGTGGTAGATAAATTCACAATAAAGTTTGGGTATCTTATATCCCATAACAGTGCCAATTTTTCTCATCTTGGCTATTCTGCTTCAAATAAAACTTCTTGAAAATGTATCTTGGGAGATGGCAGATGATAATTTAAATGCTTGGGATCATTGAAAAGACCAATATATAGTTCCAGCTTTATGGTTATAGACTGGCAAAGTTTGAAAGGTACTGCTAGAAAAAATCTAAATATGGAGACTGTAGAATGTCTATGTCTCCTCAGCTGTCCTTTAGGAATCACAGAGAATCACAGAGAATCACAATCAACGTGTACTGAGCTATGTGTCAATTTCCTGCCCACTATGTGCTGACCTACCTGAAAGTCCCTGGTTGACAGATTTTTCCACCATCTCTGGTGCTGATTCCTGCTCCAACTTGAGGATCACATCAGGCTTTGTCATGTGGTACCCTGTTCATGGAAAATAATGTAAACATTGTGAAATGACTACCAGTCCCACCAACTACTAAACTTGATACACTCTTCTTTCATTTGTCATCTATGCAGAAGTATTCTGCTTGGGCAGGACAGAATTTCACTCACCCACAGACAGCAGATTGTTATAGGTCTCAAGCATCACCTCTCTGTACAGGGTCCGCTGAGCACTGTCCATATTCTGCCATTCCTCCTGGGTAAAGTCCACAGCCACATCTTCAAATGACACCAACACCTGTAACAGCACATGTCTCCTCAGTTCTGGATCACTAAATAGAAATACTGACAGTGCTTTGTATATATATTTAATTTGCAACTCTTATGGATGTAACTTAAATCACAATCAATACAGCATCGTAGAGTAACAAATTGAAAACATCTTGTCCTGTATTACTTTTGCAATTCCAATACTTCAATGGAACATTCCTTATCCTCTTAAAGGTTGATTTCTCTAAACATTCAGATTCTAATGAATTGTTGAAGGCACTGCTAGAATACACCTTCAACCAATTCTATTTAGAAAGTCATCTAGATTGTTTCCAAGTCTACTACTGTACATTGTATTGCTGTAAATATAGGATTACAGATACCATCTCATATGCAGTTTTCATGTCCTTTGGGTATATTCTAGGAACAAGATAGCTGGGTCATATGGTCACATGGCAGGGTTATTAGCAATTCTCTAAGTACTCTCCATACTGATTTCCACAGTGGTTATACTAGCCTGCACTCACACCAAGGTTTGGGAATTTGGGGAATGATCCCAGACTATAATAATTGTACCATAAAATTGAAATTGAAAAAAAAAAATATGAAAAAAACAATACACTTTTTTTTTAGATTTATTTGTTTATTGGAAAATCAGATATACAGGGAGGAGGAGAGACAGAGAGGAAGATCTTCCATCCGATAATTCACTCCCCAAGTGAGCACAACGGCCAATGTTGTGACGATTCGAAACCAGGATCCAGGAACTTCTTCCAGGTATCCCACACAGGTGCAGGGTCCCAAGGCTTTGGGGCATCACTGCTTGCCCAGGCCACAAGCAGGGAGCTGGATGGGAAGTGGAGCTGCCAGGATTAGAACTGGCGCCCATATGGGATCCCGACGCATTCAAGGTGAGGACTTTAGACGGTAGGCCACGCCATGGGCCCAAGGATACACTTTCATGTGAACACATTACTCTCAGCTTGTCCCTATTATTGCCATTCTGCTTTTTAACTAAATTAAAATAATCATAAACACTGAGGCAAAATACTAACTCAGGAACTGTAATAGTAAACTGAGTGTAATTCTTCTGTGTGCAACTTCTATAGATGCAGTCTAATTTACAACCTGTATAGCAACATAGAGTAAAAACTAAATAAAATATCTTGCTCTGTACTATTTTCACAATTATGAAGTTACAATTCCCTTATTATTCTGTAACAGATTATTTTCTGTAATAATTATGAGTTCACTGTAATCTGTAGACATATATAAACGCATAAGCTAAATAACATGTCAGATAAGAAAGACACATATTTAATATTGCACAGAAGAATGAGGAAATCTTTGAATAATTTATGAGTGTTTTTCTCACACATCCAGATATTTAAAAATCATATCAAGCAATAATGCAATCCAATTTTGTTATTCCAACATGAAGTGATAAAATATTGGAAATATTTTTAACTGATTTTGCATAAATAAGTATATATTTCTTACAACTCAGAACTTTATATATATATGTATCCAGTAATTTAAAAATACATATATAAGTATCCCATAATCCTTTTTAAATTTTGAGTCTGTACATACAAAAATTCATTCTACTTTCTATTTTCCTTTTTACAGCTGGAGAGTTCTGGGGGTTTGGGTCGTTGAATCGCTGTTTAGGTAGTTCCAGTTAGAACCCACCGTGCTTCTAGGATGTGAGTCAATCCTATAGATTCCCAATGACAGTAACTACTTTTTTGAAGAACTTGGAATCGCATATCAATTCTGAACACCGAACACCAGTTAATGCAAAAGCTAAAGGTTGGGGCTTGTCCAGCAGGATATCCTATTACCTGATATGATGATGGATCAGCAGATGCTTCACATTAGGCATTAGGCAGGGCCATGACATTAACTAGCACTCGAGAACTATATCCATGGGCGATATGTGGGCCACACCCTGTGGAAATTCTAGCCCTACTTGTTAGCTCAAGAGATTGGGTGGTGATGGACTAAGCTAGGTGTGACCAAGGAGCTTGCCATCAATTACAGGTAAAGGACCCCGCAACAGTCTGGACTGGTCAAGGCAGGAGCACCTGAATGTGCATCCTGATCAGGGTGTAGGGTGTTCCAGGCTACAGTATTCACCTGCTCATACACAGCCAAATGGAAGGCCAGACTGTGCCAAGCACTGCCCTAAAACCCCATTGGCATGTATGAGAACTGGATCGGAGAGTGGATCAAGTGGAGGAATTTGCGAAACTCCCTTGGCGAGTCATAGCTCCCACTGGTGAACATGTGGTCCAGACCTGGGAGTCAGACAAGCTGGGCTAAGCAGCTCCAACAGTTGGCTAATGTGTTAATTGGTAATGGAACAGGATGTACTGGGCAGGAATGAGCAAACTTTAGCCTACAAGCGAAACTAGAAACCAGCATGGTGCACAGATCATGCCGAGTTAGGCTCTTGCACCAACTGGTCTGCATGAGCCAGGAATGCTAAGCCACAGTGTCTAAGGCAGAGGCCGGGACTGGTGAGGGGCAGTGACAAGCTGAGTCAGAGCAACCACTGGCGTGCGCATAATGTATAGCTGGGTACAGGCCCAGTTGGGGAGCTAAGGGGACACCCAAACTGAGTTGAGATTCCCATCAAGGGGGCGCATGTGCCGGAATGGGGCTGCATTCTAACCAGGAAATGGTTGTGGACTGGACTGGATGCAGTGGGCCGGGCCAGACCCCAACACCATCTGGTGTCCTGGAGGA